TTCTAGACATGGCATATGGAATGCTACAGGTAACATGTATTCAACTTGGAATTGAAATACGATGCAGTTAGTATGATGCGCCGAGCCCGGTGCATGCAAAACAGATGAGTGGATGCAAACATGTGTGATCCCCGCCCCCGCCCCGCCCCGCCCCGTTGCCATTCCTAACAATACGTCTTATTTTTTTATATTTTTAAATATTATTTTATTATTTTTATTCAATTAAACTTATTTTCAAGAGATTGATCAACAAATCTCATATCTTGGACTTGTGATCCTTATAGTTTCATATTTTTTTTGTGATCTATTTAGTCATTTTAGATATATAATGACTCGTTTGATATTATACTGTCCTTAATTGTTGTTGTTTGTTGGAATGTTATATTACAATGTTACATTTAAAAAAAATAGTAACAATTTTTGTTTTTTGGAATGTTAGAGCATCCCCATTGAATCTCCTAAATCCATCTCTTACCTATTTTTAGGAGTCTTTCTTTATAAAATCAACCCCATCAGCTCCCCTAAAATAACTCCCTATATAAGGAATACTACAATTGCCCCCCAAATGTAAGGGCCATTTCCCAAAATAAGCCCAACTACTAACCAATTTTCCAAACGGAGCTTAGTTTGGCCGATATTCCCAAAATAAGCTGATGTATCAGTGTTGGCCATCTATCAATTGCTAATCTTTTAGTCATTGTTCATGGTTGGTTTAGTGTATTTCTACTGGGCTGTGGCTCACCCTATATGGGAATATCATTTTCAGGTACAGGTAGCATGCCACCTCCAAGGTCATAGCTTGGGAGGCTAGAGGCAGGCAGATTTTTGTTGTTTAAGTTCCTTTTTGATGTATTACATGTATATTCAAGCCGAGGGCTTAATGTGTAGATGAGTTAGCACTCTTTTGTTATAACCAAGTGTTAACTTGGAAAGCTGTAAGCATGTAGGGCATTTCGATTTTGTTGTTAACATGTAATATTTTTGTAATGAAACTCTGATGAATAGAAGAATGTGGTTATTTCATATGTCAATAAACGTCTTACTTGATGGGTTTAATGTCATTATTTTGAGGGCGTTACACTTGTTTAAAAATGATTTTTTATCATAGGAATCAATAAAAAAGGCAGATGTTTTATGAATTATGATACACCAAATCTAGCTTTAAATTATTCTAAACATAATTTATTTAGTTTGGTTTTAAAAATCAGGTTTTTAATTTATTTTTTTTTTAAATACTAATGATTAGTTAAATGAAAAAATTAAAAAATACTTATTATTTTCATATAATTTTTTTTTAAAAAAAATATTTTTAATACTTATTTTGGTCAAACCAATTTTGAAAAAAAATAAATCAAAACACTTATTCCAAAAATCAAGCCAAACAGAGAACATTTCAAGGGTTAGTTTAGATCAGAATTGTCAAGGACAGGGCGGCTAATGGAAAAATAAATAAAAACTTAACACAAAAATATCTCAAAATTTAACATTTGCAACAAAATAAATTTTTAACTTTTAATTTTATAAATTTAACCTTTGACTTATTTAGCGAAAAGTCAACTTTTTTTTAATTGCATCCCAAGCACTCCCCTAATAAGGGATGGAAATAAGTGAAAAATATCTAACAGATGAAAATCGAACGATCATCGTAGTAGATGCTAATCCAACGGTCACAATTCGCTAGGAAACACTCAATTTACCAAACACTCCAGAAGGTCTTTCAAAAACATTGTGCAAACTTCATCACAAAAGGAAGGGCAAAATGGACAACTGAAAAAGAGAGCCTCAGTTACTGTAGAAGTCAACAGCTCCCTCTTATATAATAGTAGTATAGATAAGATTCATCTTGGACATGAGAGAGAGAGAGAAGAGAGATGGAAGGGGGTGATGATGATGATAAGGGTATTGTATGTGTAACAGGTGGTACTGGGTATGTTGCATCATGGGTGATCATGAAGCTTCTTCAACATGGTTATAAAGTTCACACTACCATTAGAAATTACCCAGGTAAATTGTTTTTTTACCCTCTCGAACCCATGCTTCTCTTACAGATTGACTATATATTACATAATTTTGATGAATATGATCGTGTTGAATTTGAGGGTCAAATTTATATATCAGTTCAAGATCAAGGTGACTGCAAAGGATAGAATGTCATTCTTACGTGTAAAAAGCTGTTGGAAACAATTCTGTTCTGGCAAACTGTATTGCCATGGGGCCACGACCGCCCCCTCTGTCCTGGATTTATCTGATTCATGTGGAGGAATGCTTTACGTGGATCTTGAGATTAATCGAGATGTGCGTAAGTTAGTTTGGATACTTGATCATAAAAAATAAAAAATAAAAAATGTTAGTTTGGCCGTTGATATAATTTTGGACAAATTTTAGTAGTCTCAGGATTTCGAAAAACGGTTGCGGTTGTGGTCACCGTAACGGTTACGGTTACGGGATATAAAGGTCATAGCTTAACGGTTGTGGTGACTGGAATCGTAATTTTTTTTTTTCGCACAATTTGAAAAAAACTTATCGATACGCATATTTTTTTTTTCTAGAACACATTTATTAGGGCTTAAAATAAATTTTGATCAATTTTTGTTTATTTTTAAGAATGATTCAATATATTTCATATTTTTAAATCACTATAAAATGAGTTTTTTTACATTTTATTTCAATAATTAATGATTTTAAGAATAATTGATTTTAAATGTTTATAAATTTTTTTTGACCAATACTTGAACTAATTGAATAAAAAATATTCACAAATATTCACAATTAATAAAAATAAAAATTGTGCCATAAACAAAAAAATTTGTTGAGGCATTTTTTTAGACAACTTACTGGTAACTAAATAAAATTATGTACAATTAAGTATTAAATGAAAGGGAAAATCGGTCTAGGGTCCCTCTTCCACTTTTCGTAATGGAAGAGATCCACAAAATTATTTTTTGATGTCTAAGGTCCCTAAACATATATCAGATGAAAGTTTCATTGGCTCATCTCTTTCCACTCACTGAAAGACCTCTCGATCGTCTTCAACACTGGACAATTCGATTTACGCAAACTCAATTTGACCGATTCAATGATCGGAAACTCCGAAACCAAACTTCAATTAGAAACCCTAGGTTTGTCCGGGATTCAACACTGCGATTACGGCCTCAGTTGGCTCTGGAGGAGTTGTAAACAGCTCAAGAAACTCCAATTGCGAAGCTGCTATGCAATCGGCGATGAATCATCACTCTCATCGTTCGTCGAATGCTTAATTGGTCTCCAAGAAGTGGAATTGTGGACATGTAGGGCGATAATCAACGAGGTTCCTCTTCCTCCTCCTCTTTCATACACTTTCTCATTCTAGGGTTTCAAGTTCTTGAACCCCTTCAATTTCATTTTAATTCATCATCCCCTGTTTTCCCTACTATTCCGTCAAGCTTTTACAGTCTATTTCATACACTTTCCTTACTCTTCTGTCCCTAATGCTTTAGATTTGCACCTTACAATGAACAAGTGTGATGATCAATCTGGGAAGCAAGATGCAAAAGAACAAGAAATGGAAGAGGAATTTCTCTGTGATGTCCAGAGAAAATTCGACCAGAGAAATTCTCTGTGAAATGTGAAGTTCAGAGAAAATTGGACCAGAGAAAATCTCTGTAAACTAGAATTTCTCTGTGAAGTCCAGAGAAAATTCGACCAGAGAAATTCTCTGTGAAATGTGAAGTTCAGAGAAAATTGGACCAGAGAAAATCTCTGTAAACTAGAATTTCTCTGTGAAGTCCAGAGAAAATTCGACCAGAGAAATTCTCTGTGAAATGTGAAGTTCAGAGAAAATTGGACCAGAGAAAATCTCTGTAAACTAGAATTTCTCTGTGAAGTCCAGAGAAAATTCGACCAGAGAAATTCTCTGTGAAATGTGAAGTTCAGAGAAAATTGGACCAGAGAAAATCTCTGTAAACTAGAATTTCTCTGTGAAGTCCAGAGAAAATTCGACCAGAGAAATTCTCTGTGAAATGTGAAGTTCAGAGAAAATTGGACCAGAGAAAATCTCTGTAAACTAGAATTTCTCTGTGAAGTCCAGAGAAAATTCGACCAGAGAAATTCTCTGTGAAATGTGAAGTTCAGAGAAAATTGGACCAGAGAAAATCTCTGTAAACTAGAATTTCTCTGTGAAGTCCAGAGAAAATTCGACCAGAGAAATTCTCTGTGAAATGTGAAGTTCAGAGAAAATTGGACCAGAGAAAATCTCTGTAAACTAGAATTTCTCTGTGAAGTCCAGAGAAAATTCGACCAGAGAAATTCTCTGTGAAATGTGAAGTTCAGAGAAAATTGGACCAGAGAAAATCTCTGTAAACTAGAATTTCTCTGTGAAGTCCAGAGAAAATTCGACCAGAGAAATTCTCTGTGAAATGTGAAGTTCAGAGAAAATTGGACCAGAGAAAATCTCTGTAAACTAGAATTTCTCTGTGAAGTCCAGAGAAAATTCGACCAGAGAAATTCTCTGTGAAATGTGAAGTTCAGAGAAAATTGGACCAGAGAAAATCTCTGTAAACTAGAATTTCTCTGTGAAGTCCAGAGAAAATTCGACCAGAGAAATTCTCTGTGAAATGTGAAGTTCAGAGAAAATTGGACCAGAGAAAATCTCTGTAAACTAGAATTTCTCTGTGAAGTCCAGAGAAAATTCGACCAGAGACCTAAATGAAATGATTATAAAAATAAAAAGTGTACTATAAACAAAAAAATATTTTTGATTTTTTTAAAAACATTTTTTAAACAACACATTACAGTAACAAAATAAAAAATATTTATAATTAAATATTAAATAAAATGATTATAAAAATAAATACAATTACTATTTATATATTTTTTATTTTACATGCTAATGTAATGAAATAAAAATTATAAAGAAAATAAATTCATATAAGATTTTTTCTTTGAGTTTGGATCACTTGAGTATTTGTTTTTTGTTTTTTTGTTTTTTTGTAAGCTTTTATTATTATTATTTTTTTTTTGGAAATGAAATTATTCAGAATATTATAAAAAAGTGTAACGGTGTGTATCGAATAGTTACGGCCTTTACGGTACTGCTACAGCCGTTACGTAATACCGAAACGGCCGTTACACATGTGAATTTCCGTTCTATCGCTATAGCGGCCGTAACGGGTGGCGGTAACCACTACAACCGTTACGTAATGGCATTCCGTAACGGTTGCGACCGTTTTTTAAAATCTTGAATAGTCCCCAACATTTTGTTGGATGTGTCATTGTAGTCTTTATAGTTTTAATTAGCTCAATTTTAACCCATTATTTTAGATTTTGAGCTAATTTAGTCTAATTAATAAGGTCATTAGGATTTTTGACGAAAATAATCAGTGAATTGGTTGAAGTTAAATCACTAAATTGATTAAATTTAAAATTTGACACATGCCATTCATGTGCAAATTTGCCCCCAAAAAAATGTTCACAATTGGAATCAATTGTATTAGTTTGAGACAAAATAAAAAATTTAAAGTCAAAATTTAACAAATTTAAATTACAAAAACCAAAATAGTATAAAAACTAAATTATAGGGACTAGAGGTGTAAATTGTAATTTTCCTTTTCTAATTAATTACATTCTTGGGAAAATCACTGTGCACACACTTTAAAAAGGTATGTGGTAAAAAAAATGTTACCATTTTTTAGTGTTTGTTAGGTCATTTCTGGTAAAAGTTAGGGAGAGACGAATTTACACTACACACTCCAAATTTGTAGTGTGAAATTTTACCAACCATTTTGATTTTGATGAGAAGAACTATAACAAATTGGTGTTTGATATGGACTAGCTAAACATGGGGCTATTCTTGTTTTGCATTATTCAAAGCTGAATTTAGTTTTCTCTCCTACAAAGTAGAGTTCAAATCAACTTAGTTATGTTTCTCTATTTGTTATTTTCACACCAATTTGTGTATGCAAGGTCATTCTAACATTTTTCTGCATGTAATTTTTTGCCCAGACAGCAAAAAAGACATCAGCTTCCTCACAAACCTACCCGGCGCATCAAAAAAACTTAAAATTTTCAACGCGGATCTTGACCACCCACACACTTTTGCTGCGGCCATCGAAGGATGCATTGGAGTCTTTCATCTCGCTCACCCGATTGATTTTCAAGGAAAAGAACCAGAAGAAGTCAAAAATTTGAGAGCAATCAATGGTACCTTAAAAATCTTGAATTCAAAGACAGTGAAACGAGTTGTATACACTTCTAGTGCATCTGCTGTTGCATTTAACGACATGGGTTTGGATCCTGTGGATGAGAGTGCATGGAGTGATACAGAGTTTATTAGATCTTTGAATCCTGATGGAGCTTCTTACTACATTTCCAAGACATTGGTTGAAAGAGCAGCTCTAGAGTTTGGAGAAAAGCATGGATTGGATCTTGTGTCTGTGATTCCATCTTATGTTAATGGTCCCTTCATTGGCCCTCATATCCCCGGTTCAGTGTCCGTTTCGCTAGCTATGATCTTCGGTACGTGTCACTTTTTACAACATTTTTGCTACAGACAGAAAAAATTGATAAAATCGACATAATTGGACGTGGAGCCTATCCATTGTTTCAATTATGTGACATTGTTTGTAATTTTTATTTTTATTTTTATTTTTTATTTTTTCTAACAACTCATTCTTTCGAGTATTGTAACTAATTGGAGTGAGTCTAGAGTCTAGAGAATATTAAAGAAGGAGTTCTTACTCGAAATAACTTGCCCCAAACTATTTGATTGTGCTTTTGTTTTCATTGGTTTGTTTTTTTTATGTTTTTGAAAACAAAAACGTTGGGAATTTCAAAAAATGCCTGTTATTTACATTTTTGTGTGAAAGACAGGTTTCACTAATATTATAATAAATTAAGTTTTAAGGATAAATATTTAAGCGTAAAATTATTTTTTAAGGATCAAATATTTTAGTTGTCAAAAGTGTCATTGTTACAACTTTTGCGATGAAATTAGATATTTAGTTATAAATTATTATCCTTTTGAGATCGTAAATCTTTTTAGTTTTTGTACATTTTTATCGACATTTTCAAAATTTTGCCACTAAAAGTTCTTTTTTAAGGCATATTTTTTTTTTTTTTTTTCACTTTCATGGATAAAAAAGTTTAGTCCTAAAACTTTTATATGTTTGAGTTTTGAAAATTTTGAAAACAACTTTAATATTCTCTAAAAAGTGGGTTGTTTCTGAAAAAAAACATTTCGCCAAACCAATTTTTATATGTTTTTCAGATAATGAAAATAGAACGAAAGCACAACCAAACATATTTCACTGCTGCATTTTTTGAAACATTTGAGGAAGACCATGAAATCTTATATATTATGATTAAGTCATGCTTTGTATAAACCCCGAGGGGTTTGGCTTAGTGGATGGAGAAAGCAACCAAAGGATTCACTGTAAAATTTACACGATCTATATCAAGAATTAAAACAATAAAATATTAATCTGATTAAACAAAACAATTAAAATAAATTTAATTAAATTCGTTCCTTTTAACCTCATAATCACCCTAAGATATCGAAGAGTAGTCTTCACAATTGGAAAACTTTAGTGTCGACTCTTCCCCTCCTCCTTTTAATCTTTACGTTATCTTTCAATGGAACTGACAATCATTTGATCAACATATATATACGTATATGTAAACCTAAATAGGATAGGAGATGGGACCGGATTTAAATAAAACAATCATTGGGCCCCCCATTTAGGAATCCAAATAACTTAAAATAAATCTTACACCTCCATATCATATATATTCAAATAATGAACACACTAAGATGGACCATGACCCAAAACTTTATGGATCACAATACCAATTTTGAGCTCATACTAGTCAATATGTCTGAATCTCTTTCAACTCATTTTTCACAAACCAAATGAAATATAGTTAATGGCAGCCTAATTGGGAATAAATTCTTACACTGACACCCAAGAGGTTGTAGGTTCAAAACCCACAAAGGCCAAACATCCCAAACCTTAGTGCCGCTAGAAGTTTGTTTGGTCGTTAACTTCAGGGCCCTGTGATTTAGTCGAGGTGTGCATAAACTGGCTCAGACACCTGATTATAAAAATAAGTAAATAAATAAAGTCAATGCACCGTATATGTTCTTTACATGTCTTCCAATATATGCAGGTGACCAGAATCAGTACAAGTTAATTAACAAAGTACCAATGGTGCACATAGATGATGTAGCCAGTGCATATATCTTCCTCCTTGACTGCCCTAATGCTAAAGGGAGGTATATTTGTTCATCAATTAATATAACAATTCAAGAGATCTCTGAATTTCTGTCACCCAAGTACCCAGAATATCAAATCCCCCCGACCGAGTAAGTTCACTTTTTTTAATTTTGAAAAAACTTAGGGAACCTGAAAAAGTAGTTCGAAAAGTTGCTAAAAAATGAAATGTGTAGTGTAGATTCAAACTTACTGAATCTAGTACACAAACTAATTTTTTCAGCAACTTTGAAGTAACTTTTTCAGAATCTTAGCATTGTTTAATTTTTGCATTTTTTTCTTGATCTTTTTTTCTTGGTGTGTTGTAAAAAATATGTGAGTGATCACCATTTTTGTTTTTCTGCAGTTCCTTGAAGGACGTTGGAGGATTCAAATATCCCGACCTCTCATCAAAGAAGCTCCTGGATACCGGGTTCAAGTATAAGTATGGACTTGAAGAAATGTACGATGGAGCGATTCAATGCTGCAAAGAGAAGGGTTTTCTTTAGTTTTTGTTTCACATATTTCTTAAAATAGAATAAGGTTACATATGCTGCAAACTAAAACACTCTCTGTTTTATGTCCTCAAATGCTTTCTATTTATGTAATAATTTGCATTGGAAAAACGTGTAGGCATAATTTCGGCAAAATTAATTTAAGTAAATCAAATAAATGAAATAAATAACAAAATAAAATCTTACAGAATTTATGCAGATTGATAAGGAACACGTTTTTTATTGAGACTAGTGTTTGAACACTGTGTCTTTAGGATAGAATTTTGTCCACTCCAATTGTGCTTAAGAACAATGGACGTCTTGTTTCTAGGATACAATAATTACCACAAATGAAGAGAACACATTCTTTAATTGCACAAAGAACCAAAACTATATTTTGAGCTTACAAATTTTAGACACACACAAATGAAGAATACAAGGAAAAAATGCCAGAAACTTGAGGAATTCAAAAAGAAGAAAATAGGCTTGTTGGCACTGGTCCGTTTTGAATAGAAATTTCATGAAGAAGGGACATGATCGGAGGAAAGTACCAATTCATCGGAGAGGTACCTATTCGAAGAAGACTGTTGGAATTCAAATTTGAATTTCAAAAAAATATTTGGTGCAAAAAATTAATCTGAAATTCGAATTTTACCTCAAAAAAATTGAATTAGAATTCAAAAGTTTTTGGTCCAAAAATAAGCAACAATCCAACCCACACCCGCACCCGGCTTGGTTTGGCAACGGCGGTGCACGCACATGTTGTTTTTGGCTCTAACCTAACTTTGTCCATAACTACTCTCCTTACAAAACTTGTGGTGCCCTAAAGGCCCAAACCCAAAAGTCCAACTTGAGATTTATAAACACTTCAGCCTTCATTTTTTTGATTCAACAGAAATTCAAGAAACAAGAGTCTAAAGTAGCGATTACAGAAACTAGGGGCTAATCCCTCACTACACTAACTCTGGTCATATCATCGTTTACCAAAGCTCTCACTTTCTCAAGTGGATCTTCAAGGAACACCAAGCGTTCATCTTGTGCTACTTCTATATTGGCCAATTTGTCCACACTTTTGTTACCCTTCCTAAAGGCATGTCCCAGATAGCATTTGTACCTCCTCAACAAGAACTTGGTGTCTTCAATGATGGCTTTGTATGGGGAGTTGTGGCTCGGGCCATTTTGGATTTGGTTGATGGGTTGTTCAGAATCTGTTTTAATCTATATCTCCATCAATCCTTTTTGGAAAATTATGGTGAGGCCTTGTAAATGGCCCACAATTTTGCTTCAAAGTTTGAGCACTAGCCAAGTTTGTCATAGTATCCCCATATCCAGGAGCTAGTTTTATCTCTTAGAAGTCCTCCATAGCCTGCTTGACCGTGGTCATCTTTAGAGCATCCATCTGAATTTAGCTTTAGTTTACCTGCAAGAAGGAAACTTCATTTAATTAGTCTAGGTTGAGATAGGCATAGATGAAGACGGGATTTGAAGGCCTCATCAATCTCATACACATAATCTCTTATAAGTTTGAGACTGGTTTGAATGGGGGTAACCTGATTTTCAAAAACCAGTTTGTTGCAATCTTTCCATAATTGCCAAAGAGTAACAAAAAAAACAAGATACCATTTTTTACCAAAAAATAGTTTCCTGTTCTTCATATTACTAGAAACCTATTCAAATAGAGGCTTCCCACAACCTTCATCTCATTAGTTCAAATTTCTGATTTCAATCCAAACTTCCTTAGATTTGATGCAATCCCTAAGAAGGTGACTCATATCCTCACTGAAGAGTCCACATTTGGGGCATAAATCAGTCGAGGAAATGTTTCTCACAAGGCATGATTGATTGGTAAGAAGTAGCCCTTTTAGAATAAGCCAAAGAAAGATCCCAAGTTTTTGAGAATTTTAACTCTCCAAATCCATTTCCAGTCCCTACCATCACTAGTATGGTTAACAATGAAGTTGTAAGCAAATGCAGTAGAGAAATTGCCACAAGTTGAGCCAATCCAAGACGGGGCATCAGCGTAGGTTGTCATATTTGGGTCTATGAATCTTAAGGGTTTCTTGGATTGCTTGTGGACTGATAAGTTGAGCAATCTTACCAGTGTCCCAGTTACCCTCATCATCAAGAATAGAGCTCACTATATTTGATTCATTAACCTAAGATGCATTATAAGATTGAGATAGTGCTTGTTTCCCATACCACCAGTTCTTCTATAAGGATATTCTTTTCCCATTACCCACTATCCACTTGACTCCTTTTCTGAGTGTATCTCTATTCTTACAAGTACTCTTCCAAGTATGAGATGATCTTTTCCTTATGGGCCAATTGAATATGGGGTTATTCTTAAGATATTTAGACTGTAGTACTTAGCACCAAAGTTTGTCTTTCTCACTAAGAATTTTCCATCCAAGTTTAATGAGAAGGGATGCATTGTGATCTTTAGCATTTCTAATACTTAGTCCCCCTTTAACTTTTGTTTTACACACATTATCCCAACACACCAAATGAACTTTCTTCCTGCTATCAGTGTCCCTCTAGAGAAAATTTCTGTTCAATCTGTCAATATCATCACAGAGGCTCCTAGGAAGTTCCATAGTTTGCATGTTGTAACTGGGAATAATTGAGGTCACAGATTGAATGGGAGTGGTTCTGCCAGCAAGAGATAGATTTCTAGCTTTCCACCCTGAGAGTCTAGTCTTCATCTTTTCTATGATCTCATTGAACATGGTCTTGTTAACTCTTTTATGGAGAAATAAGGATCCCAGGTATTTACCAAGATCTTACATCAGGGGGATCCTACTTTGAAAGCTTAGGTCATAGCTTTATGTCTAGGAAGGTTAGGAGAGGCAAAAAGTTTAGATTTAGCATGGTTGACTTTCTGCCCAGACACATCACAAAATTCAATGAGAACATCCATGATAATTTCACAGTTGAGGTCATCAGCAAAGAACAAGTGAGAAAGTCGGGGACTATTTCTAGAGGCTTTAATGCCCTTCCAAGTGCGATCTTTAACTTTGGAAGTAATCATGTTTGAGAGTCTTTCCATATAGAGTACAAAGAGGTAAGGTAAGGTGAGATTGGGTCACCTTCCCTTACGCCCCTTTCATTATGGATACCATTAATCATTTCTCCATTCCAAAGTATGGAGGAGTGGCTATTAGTAACATAGCTCATAATCAAATTAACCCAATCCTCATTGATTTTAAATTCAACCATTGTGTCCTTGATGAAATTCCATAAAAGTCTATCATAGGCTTTTTCTAGGTCAATCTTGAAGATCATGCCTCCTCCATTGCCCTTTTTGTAGCTCAAGATATGAACTTTAACCTTATTCTACATTACCAATGTTGGACAAAAGAATTGCACCTTGTTCAAATATATAACATGTTTCATTAGGCACACTTTGGCATCAATTTTCATTCATACAAAAATTGATTTTCTTCAACTAAATACATATTCTAGTTCTCCACACGCCAACAATAACATTACCACTTGGACCCATCCAAATGGATGTATGTATCCCACTTAATTATTTTCACAAAATTTTCAAAAAATAATTATTGAAACCAATTTTTCCAACAATTCCCTATGTGAATGAAATTGAAGAAACGAGATATGTGACAACATGCAGACTATGTGAGTACAAATCTAGAAATATCCTGCATAAGATAGGTAGGTTTTTGCCTTGAACTTTCCATTGTAAAAGACTATCGGATTTACTAGCTGATTAGTGAATATGATAACTTGAACTGTTTTGTCATTGATGCAAACCGAGACAATAGCCTGTCACACAATTTTATTTCCATACACAACTTGGTTTTATCGGTTGTGTCCATTTTAACCCTAGACAATTCCTTGATTCATGAGTGCTCTAGAGAATTAGCCTTTTCAATTCTCATAGAACTGACCTAGTTCACATTCATATAAGTTATTTTCATTAAAGGAATCCTGCTATACCCCACTTGAATTTTCAAGCTATGAGTCTCATTAAAAGCAAAACTTAACCTATTTGTCGTTGCAAATAATCACTATCTCATCATAAAAATAGGTAAGAGTTTTACTCCTTAGTGATTTTAATGAGTCATTCTTAATTAGGTTGTTCTTTTGAACCTAGATCTTGGGATCTCCAGTCAACTAGGTTGGGTTACCATTATGATAACTCTTATGTGATAGGGTTTTAATCCCATTTCCTTCGATGATCACAAAACTTGCTCTCTAGTTAAACCCTTCATCAACGGATCTGCTATGTTTTCTTTTGACTTTATATACTCAATTGCGATTACTCCATTAAAGAGCAATTGTCTAACGGTATTATGTCTACGACAAATGTGATGAGATTTGATGTTACACATATGATTTTAGACCCTAGCCATTGCGATTTGACTATCGCAATAAATGCAAATTGCTGGCATAGGTTTCAACTACATTGGAATATATTCTAAGAAATGACAAAGCCACTTTGTTTTCTTTATCTAATGCAATAAACTCAAATTCCATTGTGGATTTAGCTATGCAAGTTTTCTTAGAATATTTCCAAGAGACCTCTCCATCTCCTAAGGTAAAGACATATCCACTAGTAGATTTAGAATCTTTAGTGTTAGATATCCAATTAGGGTCGTAATACCCTTCTAAAACTGTTGGATACCTAGTATAGTACAACCTATAGTTACGGGTGCATCTTAGGTATCTAAGAACCCTAACTATTGTTGTCCAATAGTCTTCCCTAGGTTGCTAGTATATCTACTCAATTTACTAATAGCATGCGCAATATCTGGATACATGCAACTCATGAGATACATTAGACTTCTAATTATTCGAGAGTATTCCAATTGTGATATGCTTTCACTTTTATTTTTCATTAAATAAAGGTTAGCATCCACAGGTATCTTTACATGACGATCATCATGCTTATTGAATTTCTCAAGAATTTTGTCAACATAATGAGTTTGAGACAAAACATATCCTTCGAATGTTTTAGTAATTTTCATTCCTAAAATCACATTTGCTACTTTCATATCTTTCATATCAAACTTACCATTCAACATTTTCTTAGTTGAATTGATCATCACGCTATTGCTACCAATAATTAGTATATCATCTACGTATGGGCAAACAATGACATAACATTTCTC